TGCTTTAAACCTCTGCCAAATGTTTGCCGTGGGACAAGGGAAGGTTATGTGTGTCTTCCATCTCTGTCTTTGCAACTCTTAGCTAACTGGATGATTCTAATTTACTCACAAAATTAGCTTCTAGTACATGAATAAATACTAGAGGTACATTTTTAACCATAGTTAGTGGTTTTGCAGCTCAAACCTGTAAGGACTAGCATGCTAGTCCTGTAACTCATGCTGTTCTGATGAATAAGAAAAAATAAATACTTTGGTGTTGAAAATGATCAGGGTGTCACTAGAGTGCTCTGGTGTTACATGGAAGCAGAGCTGCAGTCTTTTGGAGGCAAATGATTTTAGCCTTGGAATGTGTCCTAGCATCAATGCTATTAACTGCAAGATATTGTTTGACCATGAAGCTCAAATTATTGAGTTTTAGTGTAATTATTTGATCTTAAACACTTGGTTTCATTTCTGTCCTGGAAATAAAGGAATAACAACTTTACCTTCTCAGCTGTGCAGAAGCAAATAACTGGGGATTTTTGAATATTTCTCTGACTACCAATTCCTGAAATCACAGGAGAATTTCTTCTTTGAACTGAAAATTAAAGTTTTGGCAAAATATGTTCATAAGGGGAAAAAGTAGTCTCTATCCTTTTAGTGGGATATAAAATTGTCGAGTTTTCTATCTTTTCCTGCTTTTGTAGGACACTGGTTGTGTTGCTTTCTGCTCTTTTTTGCATAGCTAATTACTCCGAGGAGTAGCCTGTCAGAAGGTCTGCAGGGGTTATTTTGACTGCTCAGTGTGCGCTGTCTTATGTCTGACACCAGAATTGTTTGTAAGCTACCACAAGCCTTCTGACACTTAGTTATCTTTATGGATCTTTATGGCTTATTTTTCCTTCAGCTCATTTTGTATACTCTGCATTTCAGATATGTCATATGATGGGCTGTTGTGTCTAACAGTCTGTTGTGATCTGTGTTAGGGAGAATACATCACCTTAAATCCAAGCTACTGTCTCTCTCCTGTGCTTTCTCTGTTTTGGACTATGCAAAATCAAGCACAGGCAAAGATGATGTGTATAATGTAATTTTAAATGTGGTTCATATCTATACAACAGTATTAGGTATGCAGGTGAAGTTACTCCTAAATGGAATTCAGACAAAGCTTTTGAGTTGAAATAGCCTGCATGTTAAGTTGTGAAATCTGCATTTGTCTGGGCTTTTGAAGATGCTGTGTAGGTTATCAAATAAAGAGGAAATGAAATGGCATCTCAGGCCACCCCAGATGGTCACTTCAGTAGCGTCCCTGGGATGCAGTTGTCTGACTGGAGCAAGGCAGAGAGCTGGAAGGTGGCCTCTTGGGTCAGCAGTTGAGGGTTTAGGCAGACTTTAAGGACAGACTGACCTTCACATCTGTCTGCATCTCAGCCCCGAGTCATTCCTGTTACCTGCTTGTGAAGACAAGTAGCCAGCTCTGACATGGGCCTTACTGTGTCACTGTCAGTCTTGCTTTAATGGTGGCAAAGACTGCAAAATTATTTAACTTGAAGCCCTATGTAGACACTGCTGTATCTGACAATAACTGCCTGTTCTGCCTCAGTATTTCAGCAAACCATCTTGAATGGAGTACCCTGAATCCCTCAGTAAAACCAAGTAAGCCCTGTGTTAGTGGCTTTACCTTTTGCTCCTGAGGACGTAGCCATTAATAAATTTCTCATAAGTTTTCTTCCTTGTAGCTGAGTGTGAAACTTGGAGGCTTGAGAAGCACTGCCTGTGCCTCTGCCTGTTGAAACATGTATGCCAGGGAAAAGCAAATGCTGTGCAATTCACAGAAGGCTTTTTGCATCTTCATGGCTAATGGTTTTCTTGAGCATGAATTTTGTATGGAGAACAAGATTTAATCAGGTGCTATACTAATTCCACCTTCCCCTTAAGTGACAAAACTAATGAAGTAAGGGATGGTGACTTACATCAAGAGGTGAAGTCTCCCTAATTTGGAAGGAACAAGTAGGTTTATTGTCTGCTTCCTTCTTTTGAATTCATCATTCTACAAAGCTATGCCAACACAGTGTGTGGAGGGCAGGCAAGGATATCTCCTGGGAATGAGGTTACTCTTTTGTTGTTCACCTGCTATTCTCATTAGCCTGTCAAAGAAACAGTGTTAATTTACTCCACAAAGGTCTATTGAAGTAAAGAAAACTAGTTTGTGAACAAATCTTGTTTTTAAACTAAGATGGCAGCTAACTTGGTTTTTCTCAGCTATGCTATTTATATCATAGGTTACAGTTTGGGGATCTGTTATTTAAAAAGAAAAAATCTCTCTTGACAGGTTTTATGAACTGAACTGGATTAATCTAGATCATATATAAGGAATTGTTGTCTTGAAAGCTGTAGAGATCTTCCAAAGAGGCCACGTTTTCTGCAGCTTTTTCTGCATATGTTCCACTTGATCACCCTTGTCCATTCTGTGTGCAGTGCTGCCCAGTGCTCCTGTGCAGCAGCCTCCTTCCTCTCCAGTTCCACCTGTCACACCAGGCTTAATTCTTTGCCCCATGCTGGCAGATGTGCTTCTGCTGTTTTTCTGGATGTTTCCATCATCTCTTCAATCCACTGTAACATATGGCAGTTCTGCCAGGTGGAATGCTCCCACCCAGAATTGCTCCACAGCTGTTACTGCTGGCACTTGCTTTCCTTTCTCACCTGAAGCCAGTCTGGGTTGTCAGGGAGGAGGAACTACAGCAGAGCTAATTCTGAGCAGCCAGGAGTGGGAGCAATGCAGGACTGGAGAGGGCAGAATGGTCACCAGTGGTCTTAGGTAATCCTTTCAGTGAACCAAAATCCTGCTTGTGATTTCGGTAGTTACAAGGAGATTTGACCATTCAAATTTGGCAATGTGATTGTTGTATGTGTCCTGACAGTGGAACGGTGGAAATATAACAGTTTTTCTGTTTAATGAAATGATCAATCATGCTTGAAAGAAAATCCATTTTTGGTACTGAATAAGAAGGTTTTCATACTGCAGTGTAGCAGGGTAGAAGGAAGTGTTTTTGATTGAGTGTATTGAAAAAACTTGTTGAGTTTCTTAAATGGCCACTCGGGCAGCAGGACTTTCAATCCTGTTATGGACTGTAGGCAGTGATAGAACTGCTCTGCTCAGCTCCTGCCAAGCAGCATGAATGAAAGGAGCTTATGGCTTCCATTCACTTTATAAGGTAACTGTTAACCTACACAGTTGTCTGGCAAGAGGTCCCTGAATGAAAGGGACTGAATAGGGTGGTGGAACAATTGTTAAAACAAAGCCTATGCATTAATGGAGTGAATGTGGTTTGGGTGCTTTTTAGATTTCCTGAGAAATAGAGAAATAGTGCTTCTTAAAATATTTGCGGAAAAAAACAACAGCAACACATTAACTTGACAGGCAGTTGCTTATCTTAGGCTTGACAGGCAGTTGCTTATCTTAGGTGCTGCCTCGACACAAATTGGCAAAAGTTTTTGTTAATGTTATTCTTTTTTGATTTTGCTTTTCCACTGTCTGTTGCAATTATTTGCTTTGATGTAGCTGTGAATAGAATCCCTTGGTTTTATTTGGCCATTATATTTTGCATGGTGTCTCAGGGTCCTTGCCTTCTTTTCTCCTAGCTGTGGTCTTCAGGTTGCAAGTTTTTCCTTTGAAGAGAGGGCAGTAGGCAATGGGTGGCATCTTTTGATGATAGTTTTCACTGTGACTAAAATCATTCCCCAGCCTTGATATTTTATAACTCTTGCTCTTCCCTCTACCTTCCCAAGCTGGGACAAATCAGTAATGTTATGGTATTTGTGATTAGAAATTTAACTGCAGAGCAACATATTTTTGTTAAATGCTCGTTAATCAGGATTACCTGATATAAGAGGAACTGCTGATAGATGATTAAATACAAATTAGCGCTGAATATTTCATGCCTCTTCAGCTGGATTTGAAATGACATGACAGGGATTTTGTATTTCTAAACCAAGTTTGTGCTAAAAACAGACGTGTTACAGAATATGCTTGACTTTGAATTAAGAAGCAGAAAGAGAATTGGAGGACAAAATGGGAAGATCACTCTCTTTTAAAGAAACTTTGAGATGTGAGATACTAAAAAGGAGGATTCTGGTACTAGGAACACCTGAATCAGGAGTAGCAGTGGTTTTGCTGGAGACAGGTTAAGTGACAGCACTCAAGTATTTAAATTAGCTGAAATCCTTGAAGGAGAAGCAGCCTACAAAATCCCAAAGGGAAAAGACATATGAACCTTTCACCACAAGAGAAAGGTACCAGTTCTGGGCAGTTCATCATCCAGTTACTGTACTAAAAAAGATACGCTGCTTGCTGTATAAATCTGCTCTAAATGAGCTGAAATGCTCAAGTGCAATCCTCCAACTGCTTGCAATGGAATCTCAGTGGTGCATTGCCATAGGAAATGGTGTTTTGTCTGACCATGCAAATACTGATTTTTCTAAACCAGAAACTTAGTTTTGAAGCAGAAAGTCCTAGAAATCCTAGAGAAGTTCAGATAGGTAAAAACTTTGGTGGCATTTCTCTTTAACTGATGAAAACTGTAGCAATGAGGTATTTTTCCCTGTGTGACACTGTAAATAAAGCTTGAACCGAGACCTACTTTTTTCTGCTGCAATTATGTGTAACTTGGCTCTGTAATGCAGAGATGTAATGCTCTATTTTTTGTGCTGTAACTATATGTAACTTAACTCGGTAATGCTGGGATGCAATGCTCTATTTCTGATGCTGGTGATCATGGCTAGCTAATAGCTATACTGACTCACAGAAGAGTTTGTAAGGATGCTTCTCTGTTTGCTTGTAATGTCACTTCCATAAAATCACCAAGTGTTTTTGAAATCAGCACGTTTCATCTGCATTCCTAAAGGATTATGTGGGTTCCTTGGCACTGCAGGATTAACTTTGATTTACCCCTGGCACTGGTTTATGTGATTGAAATACAGTTTATTGTTTATGTTTGATAGGGTTCTTCTGTTTTTTTCAGATTGTGAGGACGAGCTGCTGCATCAATAATCTGAAGAAGGGAGTTCTCTGTTAAGACTGCAAGAAGATACTACTAACTGGTAAACAATTGCTTGGGTTTCTTTGCTTGTAGAATATTTCTTTGTTTTCCATAATATTTTAGTCCAAGGAGTACCAAGTATTTTGATCTGTTGAAAGCAAGAAGTAGTTCATGCAATGTTTTTTCTTTCTAACTGTCTGTAGCTCACCAGACAAAAGAATCAGTAGCAATGGATAGCATGTGGGTATTTAAATTGGAATACAAATTGATTAAATTCCTGCTCCCTCAATAGGAGAAAAAAGACTGGGTTTTTTCTTGTAATTACATATTAGACATAGTCTGTTTGCCTTTTTAGCAGAGACAAATACAATGTGTCTGTACTGTGTCCTATATAAATACTATTTGAAGTGTGATAGTGCAAACAGTGCAACTTCAAATATAGTGCTTCAGAGTCTGGAGAGAGAAAAAAGGAAGCCTTAGCAGAAGTCCAGATGCTTTGGAGGATGCCATTAATGTGCTTGTAATTATTCAATGGATGTTTGTTGAGGACTAATTTTCACTGAGAATAATGTATGATAATAAAACTAAGGATATCTTTTGATTCCCGAACACACCAAGTCACGTGCAGGCTGCTTTTGGATACAGAATAATAGGATCATCAATGAAGAGCTATGACCACTTAATAGCAGTTTTCCAGCCCATAAGTTAAGATGTTGAGCTACAGTATTACACAGCAATCACAAGGAAACCTGAGAATTTAGGATATTTGAGTATCTTGACATAGGTAAATTATATGCACATTGTCATGGGTACCAGAGTTACAGCTCACTTTTCAAATACTTAATGTTGTAGATGAAACAGCAGTTTTCCTGTGTAATTACACCTTCCTATACACCTTCTATAAAGCTTGGATCTTACCTTTCTGTTTACTGCTGCCACTTGAGCTGCAGGGCTCATTAAACTTGTGTCAAAAGAGGGTTCTTAGCCCAAATGGGGTGATGTGGTTTGGTTTCAAGGGTGAACATGGAATGAAACACATCCTAGCCATAAGAAAACACTAAGCTTTCATGACTTAAGCATTTACAGATGCTTTATTAATCTTCTCTTGCTAGTTAATTTGCCTAAATTTTATAAGCAGTCAAGGATAACTTTATAAAGTTGTTCTGTGTAGCTGTTGCAGAGAATAATAAAATGCTGGGTTTGGTGACTCTGCCAAACCTAGATTAATGATAGGAAAGTTTTGAAAGCTTATAGTAGTCAGCAATGTGCATCTGTCAAAATGACATAGTGAAAACAAAGTTTGACTTTTTTAGTGTTTTTTTTATATAAAGATAACTTGTGTACATCTATTTCTGAGCAATAATTTCAAGAGTTTTGTTGCATGTAAAATTACAGTTCCTGAAGCTAAAATATGTATGAGACTCTTTCCTAAATAATGGGTTTGAAAGTCTATGAACTTTAGCTTACAGGAGAAAAAACCTCTGGCATGTAGTGTGCCACCATTTGAGGTACCAAAGCACTGTATTGCCAACATAAGTTTTGAACCACGTTATAATTATCTGATAGTAACTTTTAGACCAGTACTTTAGATTATTCTGATTGCATTTGATATGAATAAATAGTGTGTGTCTTTTACTAAATTTGGGTGCATAGTTTGCCCTGTATAGAAGACTGGAAAGCTCATTGTCTAGAATTGAAGTCTTTTATCTTTTCCCTACTTTGGCTTCCTTTTCCAGCCCATCATCTCCCCATCTCTCTCAGTGAGAGAAGTTTAACAGAATGGCCGTGTTGAGTAAAACTGAGTAGTTCCATGAAGTAGTTCTTCATCTGCAGCTGTGATAAAGTATTTGTCTTAATTCAGTATTTCCTTTAGGATCAGGAAGTTCTTTTCAGCGTGAGATAGTGCTGCACAAACTCGGTTTCACTGTTTCCAGCAGTAACTTTAATTTGGGAGGACAGGAGCTGAAAGCCTGCTGAGCTCTACTGCATTTTAAACCTGACCCAGGTTCTCAGGTCAGGGCCCCAGCTCTGGGTCTGTACTGCAAAGAGAACATGACATGTGGATGTTGCATCCCTTGGGGCAGAGGTGTCTGTGTCTGGGTCTTGCATGACTGGTGCCAAGATAAAATTTTTAACCCAGCTGGTCCTTGGTAATGGTGCAGACTAGCCCAAATGGTTGTAGATGTGCATGCCTATTTTGTCAATGTGGTGTTTCTTTTGCTTTTGATGTTTCCCCTGTCCATTATCACAGACTGAAGGATGAGTACCGTTTCAGTGTTTGCCCTATTTTCTTGTATTAGCTGTTCTTTTTCGTCACGCTAACTTGTATGGGATTATTTTTCCAGAGTATCAATCATTCAGAAAAGATCTTGATAATTGTTTTCTGCCTTCATGTATAATCTCTGATAATTATTCACTCTCATTTTAGTGTTCTCTGAAATGTAGCTTGAACTTGTCTGCATGCTTAAAGATTTAAAAATCTTTCATTGCAACTTAGAATTGTTCCCCTGTAATGATGATGGGGAGATGTTTTGAGCAAACTGATGAACATATTGTGAAGTCTCTGTTTCAGTACTCCTATTGCCCTGTGGGTGGATTAACAGGTTTTGCATTTATGCTAATTTTAATAAATATGGAAACACCTTTAGTATTATGTTTACAAAGTGGAAGCAAATGCATACCTGCCATTTTCTTATTAATTTTGAGAACTCTTTGTTGTGGCTTGTATAGCTCTTATGAAAGTAACATTTGTCTGGCTGACACATCTTTAAATGTTTTGCTTCCTCTTGTGAAGAATCTTAAAAACTTATTCAGTAACAATGTGAGTCTTTTCATGCAAATCTCTTAATATGTGTTAAATTTGAAAAGAGTAGGGAAGTGTGTGGTCCCCATATCTGTGTGCCTAAAAAAGGTTTGAAGTGAAGGATCTCATGCAGAAGAGATAGTGTTTTTGAGTAAGGTCCTATTCCATGTGTTTACAGAATTCTGTTTGGTTTTGACTAGTGGGGAAGTTTATATAAAGTCAAATATGTTGCAAGAAGTATAAAGCTAGGTTCTGTTTTGTTTTGCTCAGTGCTAAATGTTTCCTCTATTAAACAAGGAAATAGGTTTTATAAATGTGTACCTTTTAATGGCTACTTTCAGAAGGGTGGGTTGGTTGGTTTGTTTGTTTGGGGAAACCTATGTAACCAACGTAGAAAGTGGTGACATTACAAATACTTCTAAAAGCTTTCAGTGCAAAGCCCACCAAATACCCACAGCAGGGTAATGTGGGAACATCAGGGGTGAAGGGACAGTCTTTCCTTGTTACGGATGTTACACAATGTAAATACGTGAAGAAAAATTGTCTTTCTGACAACTTAAACCACCTGTACTTCCCATTTGTGCTACAAGTTAAAAGCAACCTCCTTTGGTATTGTTGCTCTAAATACATTGTTGTTGGTTTGTCTGCAAGTTCAGCAGAGCTTCTTGAATTTATTTTTCATCCATGTGAAAGTGGGTTTGTGTAAATGGTTCTTAGTACTTAGGGGTTAACTATCTGTGATTTTGATACTCATGATGTGGTAGAAATTCTGATCATGATGCTGATATTCTACTAGCATGCATTTATTTTGTATTAATGGTGGTGTCTAAGGCATAAAAGAGGAATATCTGACTTGTTTTAGGCTGAACTGAGCTGTCTTATTTATTTGCTGTATTTTATCTTGAGGCTTGTTTAATGTGCCTCGCTGCAGTAGCACAGGAATAGATTGAAGTGTTAGAAGCTTTTATGCAATTCTGTGTTTTTTAAAGTTTAATAATGTGTATTATCAATGTAAATAATATGTCTATGCTGAGGAAACATAATGTGGTATCTTTTTCCCCACAGTAGATGCAAAATAAGTTCAAGCTTGAAAGAAGATTGTAATAATCTGCAGATGATCAGTGACAAGATTTTTTCACTCTAATCGAGTGGAATTCAATGTTGGGCTCTTCCAAAATACCCTTCCTTTACATGTACTAGTACTACTGCAACAGTTAATAGAGTAGTTTAAAAACAAGTGGGTTTTGAACTTGGTTTAAAGGCTTATTTAGTAAACTGTGCTCTGCTTGAGACTTCAGCCATGGCGATTTGTTTATGACGGTAAAGCTGCTATTTTTCTTTACCTGTAAATAGTTCCTCAGGACAACATGAACTGTTTAATTCTGTTTGTCCAATGAGCTTTCAAATCAAAGGCATTAATTTGAGGGTTGTTTTGACTTTTTGAAAAGTCACTTTTATACTTTACCAAAAATATGTAAACTTTTCTCATCAGAAAGACATTTGACCTGAAAAGCTGTGCTTGTTGAGACAGGTGACTGGACATTCATAAGTTTTATGTGGCCTATTCTATTAGGTTAATGTCAGAGGTTGCTTATTTCACTTCTTGACTTAGTGAAGAACTCTTAAATACTTGTCAAAGGATAATTCTAGGTTTTTTGGAGGGAGGGTTGTTGATTTTTTTAGCTCTGTAGGCACTATAGACATGCAGTCCTCTAGTTCTTGTTAGTGTTCAGCTTACTGCTTGACTACATAACTGCAATTTTATTATTTAGAATTGTAGAATGTCTCAAGTTGGAAAGGACACACAGAGATCATCAAGTTCAGCTCTCTGTTCCTTTCAGGACTCCCTGCCACTAAATTATGACTTAAGAGCATTGTCCAGACACTCCTTGAACTCTCTCAGGCTTGGTGCCATGACCACTTCCCTTGGGAGCATCTTCCAGTGACCAGACAGCCCCTCAGTGAAGCAGCTTTCCTTAATGTCCCATCTGAACTTCCTCTGATGCAGCTTGCCTCCTTTTAGGTGATCATGAAATTAATTTGAAAAATTATTAAAAATAGTATGCAACTGTTGAGACTGTGTCATTAAATTACAATGCAGGAATTAAGACCTTGTTGTGTATAGCTCCTGGTTTTTTTGGTTTATTTTTCTGCCTGTTGGACAAAGCTGTTGAAGACACACGACAGTCCCTAGGAGCTGAACCTGGATATTCCTACATTATCTCTCATATGTTTGTTATCCTGTATTCTGTAATTTT